GCCTCCCCGGCGCCCGCAGCTCTGGGTGTGACCCAGTCCTGCGAGCTGCCCAAGGATCGGCGAACAGGAACGAGCTCGGGCAGCCGGGCCGCTGCGGAATCCTGCGTGCGGCGGGCCCAGCAGGTGGACCGACAGCCGCCGCCCTCTCTGCGCCGGCGTTGCCGGCTGCTGCGGAGCAGGCCCGCCGCACGCTCCCCGTGGGTCTCGACGGATCCCGACGTGGGTTGGGGTGCCTCCGACGTGGTAGTCTGCCCTACTTCACCTGCCCCCGCCTGCGAGTCTCACGCGGGCTCAGGGGTCCCCCGTCACGGGTGGGAGTTGGAGACGCCCGGGTGTGGGGGACAGGACAGGGGAGGGAGCCAGCGGCGCAGGCGACGGGCAGTGTGTCTGTGCGTGCTGGTGCTCCCAGAAGCGGCAAGCCCCGGAGGGTGCAGGTGGCCTCGCTGCATGCATGAATGCCCCTCCTCCTCTACTCCAATGAGGCTTGTCTTGGAGGGTATTTATGTCTTCCCATTTGCCTCCTAGTCTGGGAGCTCCTTGAAGCACGGATGGATCTTGCTGGTGTTTGCATTCCTGGCACCTAACAGGCACTCATGAAATGCTCCTGGATTTAGTGACTGAGGCACCCAGGCAGCATTTAAGGGGTTGAATTCCATTCGGTTCTCCTGAGCAACCGTATCGTTTAATTAAGAAGGGTTTGGGGCTACCTTTGGTAAACTTGAAAAGACTAAGTAAGTCAGTTTTAGAAAGCTTGCCTCATGAGAGAAAGTAGAGAATCAGTAAAAAAAATGGATGTCATAGGGATCTCCTCCGTTAACAGTTTAAACTGCTTAGAGAGTTGATTTTTTTATTTTTGGGTTTTTTTTTTTTTTTAATCGAGCCCTTACTATAGCTGACCAACAGGATGACATCTTTCCTTCTCTAAGGTGATCTACCACTGTTCTGACCAGATGACATTTTGGAGCACGAGAGGGTCGCTCCAAGTAGTTTTTTAAAAGTCTAGCCTTTCACAGCACATGTCCAGGTAGCCTCATAGGAACCTGTTTTGATTTAGCCTCAACTAAAAGGCCTAAGTCAGAGTCCTGGATTTATAGTTTCTCCTGCATCCCTTCTGCCTGCAACAGCAGAAAGCTCCTCTGCTATGAGTCTATCCAGGGGCAACATTCTAGAATTCTGGGGACTGCCCATCACTGCTGTAACAAGCAAGGTTCTATGTTCCCTGCTCTTGAGGACCTTAGAATGGAATTAAAGAGATGATTTTTTCACAAGTAACTGTGGCATAAGACAGAATGAGATAAATGCCACATGACACACCTAGAAAAGGTGTCACAGGTGTACAGAGGTGGAAGAAAGGTGACTTCAACAGGAACAGAAGGTCTGAACCCAGGCTGCACATTACAATCACCCACAGAAACTTCCTGAGCCCCAAATCTCTGGGGGGGGGGGTCTCAGACACTGGTTTCTACCTGAAAGTGCCTTGGAAGCTTCTGTTGTGAAGCCAAAATGAAGAACGGCTACACTAGGCTTACCAGAGACTGCTTCACAGAGGGCCTGGGGCTAGAAGTGGGCTGGGGAATGATAGATAGGGCTTCAGAGCCAGATGTGTTGGGTGATATTCCAAGCAGACAGGCACTGTGTGGGGAGAGAAAGGCCTATCACTGCAGGCAGTGCCGGTTCCCCTGAATGGCTCAAGGCAAAGGAAGATGGGTACCTTTGTTGGAGCATGTAATGAGCTCATTGCTGCCTTGCTTGTTACAGAAGAACCATGGTTACTTCTCTCTGGGGATTCTTGTTACCTCATGTCTTCCACCTGGGAAGATAGAAAGGCCAGCTGCATGGGGAATGGACACAAGGGTGATGAAGGCAGGTAGCAATGCAGATTTTGTGAAACTCTCCTGAGAACCCACTTTGGGCCACATATTTGGCTTACAATCTCTTTGGACCCCTACCAAGAGCTTCTGGTCCTAAGGAGAGTGCTGCCTCCCTCCCTGGACAGAATAAGAGGCTGTGAATGTGCACCCCAGTGGCCTAGGCCTGCAGAGCAAACCACAACAGTGTCAGACCCAGCCTCTGGGGCTTGAAAACAATGGCTGTATAATGGCTATAGATTTGTGCCTCCCTCATCTTCACAAGGGCCACTGTTGTCTTCAGGTGTTTTTCTTGAATACTTTTCTGTGTGAAAGGATTTGAATGTGCAACCTCATGTATATCATTTATTATAAATGATGGCCATCTACTACTGTCCTGACATATCATGGACATAGAAGTATACAAACATGTGGACCTCTTATTTATTTAGTACCAGGGATTGAACCCAGGGGTGCTTACCCTATGAGCCACATCCGCAGCCCTTTTTATTTTTTGAGACAGGTGTCACTAAGTTGCTTAGGGCCTCACTAAGTTGCTGAAGCTGGCTTCAAACTTTCGATCCTTCTGCCTCAGCCTCCTAGGCCACTGTGTTCAGCCAAAAATGTGGACCTATTAAAGGATTGAGAGCTGAAGTCAACATGATTAAATTTTCTCCAACATATTAAACATGCTCTTAAACATGAAAGCCATGTGATCAAGTCCACATTTGTAAATGCTTGGTTAAAACTAAGTCCTAACATTTGAAGGCCTGGTTCTAAGTTCTGGTTTGATTCAGGTTCCAGTTCTAATGGCATTTACAGATAAACATGGTACATAGACTGTGCTTCTGTGCCAGAGTACTTGTTTTTATTTTTATTTTTTAGTTGTAGATGGACACAATGCGTTTTTTAAAATGTATTTTTAGTTGTAGTTGGACATAATAAGTTTATTTTATTTATTTATTTTTCTATGTGGTGCTGAGAATCAAACCTAGTGCCTCACACATGCTAGGCAAGCTACAGCCCCAGCCCAGAGTACTTGTTTTTCAGTTCCATTATCCAATCATGCAAAGACCCTTGATGAATTTAGGCTGGTGTTTGTTCAGGGGCTGTCAGGGAACGTGGAGATTCTGGTTTCTGAGGTTTCCTCTTGTGTTTATGTAGATGGTATTCTTCTAGAATCCTTGGCACATAAACACATAATTATTTTAACATCTTATATTAGTTTACTAGTCAGCTCTGCATTACTATAACAAATATCTGAGATAAAACAATTTATAAGGAGGAAAGGCTTATCTTTTTAGAGTATTTTCTTTCCTTTTTATATGTACATTTATTTTATTTATTTTTTTTACGTGGTGCTGAGGATCAAATCCAGGGCCTTACACATGTGAGGTGAGTGCTCTACCGCTGAGCCACAACCCCAGCCCCCCACCCCCACCCCCAAGGAAAGGCTTATTTAGACTAACAGTTGTAGATCTTTCATACTCAAATAATTGGTCCCATTGCTTTGGGGCCCTTGTGTATAAGGAAGACATGATAGAAAAGCTGTTCATCTCATGGCCAGGAAGCAAAAGAGAGTAAGGCTGGGGTCCTACTGTCTCCTTCAAGGCACACCCCAGTGGCCTAAAAACCTCTTAAAGTTCCACTTCCCAATAATACTAACCTGGGGACTTAGTCTTAACACATAGGCCTCTGAGGCCACTCATGATCCAGATCACAGGATGTTTTACAGACATCCGTGTTCATAAATACTCTGTTCTTGGCACAGATTATGTTGAAAAGCCATAACTCTGACAGATGGTCACCTTTTCCTTGAAGAAGCAGATTTGAATGTGTTTGTTTAAAAGAAAAAAAGCTAAATGACACACTGCTACAGCCATTTGTTACTTTTTAAAAAGTTTCCAGATTTCACAAAGAAATATCCTTACCTCTTTTAATTCTTTGGCTCATTGAAGAATTAAGTTACGTGCTGGCCAGTGAACCACTTTGTCACAAGAGACATTCATGGTTACATCCCAGATCACTAGAGTATGGTAAAGCTCTGACTATTTAAGTGCCTTGGTTTGTTTTTGTTTTGTTTGTTTTAATTAACCACAACCATGATATCTTGAAGCATGTGAACTGCAACATCCTGAGATGCTAAAGTAAACTTGTGGGTGAGGGCCCATGTCACCCCATGCGTCACAGGCTCCTCTTCCATCAGGATGAGCACAAGGGCCCATCCACATGTTAAATATGAGTAAAGCCAGTTTCTCCTCATTTTGAAAAGAAAAATACAAATAGCATTTAAAAATTTTTTTGTTGTAGATGGACACATGCCTTTATTATTTTTATTTATTTATTTAGTTAGCTGTTGATGGATCTTTTTTTATTTTATTTATTTATATGTGATGTTGAGAATCGAACCCAGTACTTCTAGCATGCTAGGCAAACATTCTACCACCGAGCTACAATCCCAGCCCCCACAATGCCTTTATTTTATTTATTTATTTTTATGTGGTGCTGAGGATCGAACCCAGTACCTCACATGTGCTAAGCTAATGCTCTGCCACTCAGCCCCAGCCCCAGCCCACAAGTAGCGTTTTGAGCATTCCTTCATTATCATGTATTGTCTTACTTTCCCCCTCTGGAGACCACTGGTAGGATTCACAGGTGGGACCATGCCCCCCAAATGTGCTTGCAGCATTCCCCTCTTTATTTAAAGAATATTTATTGGTGTTTGAGCATTTCATCTGCAGATTCCATTGAATTAGAAAAATTCAAATATGTGTACTCTCTTTCCTCCCCCCCCGCCCCGGAAATGATTGTGTACTAGGCAAAAGACTGGACAAAATCATATATCTTCCTGCCACGTCACATCATGTGGGAACCACCCCTACCCCCTTTGGGGGCAGTACCCGAAGCCTTGGTGATGTGAAGCTGGATCTGCTTCCCCTTTTGGCTCATTCCCTGCAACTCCCACCCCCATGTCTATGTTCAGTTTTCACAGCAACCCGCTCTGACTTCTCCATAATCCTGGAGTCCCCCCACCTCCACCCTACCTGATGAGTAACTCAAGACTGGTCTCTCTGCCCTCTCTGTCTTATTATCACACAGAGAAGTCATTGTTTTCTCCAGAATCTGTGGTACTGTTCTAGCTTCATTTATAGCAGTTATAAGACAGAAGCATTTATGGATTGTGAGTTCCTTGGATTGAGAACACTCATTTTCACTAGCAAATTCTTAGCCCTTGTACAAATGCCCATCACAGAGTAAGCCCCTGGCAGATGTTCATGGATGAATAAATGCTGTTTGTCCTGTGTATCCTGAAGGCCACAAGTTCCACTAGCAGACTTTCATGAAGTACCTATTATGCTTTCTTCAATGTACATGCCAACAGACCTTTGATCCTGGCTGACTCACTATTGCAGATTCCTATATTGACAGTGAAATGCTTTCCTAGAAGCATTTTAAGCAGGACAAGGTAGGACTTCTCCTTGGAGGAAGAACACTGTGTGTGGCCAGTGTCACCCACCAGAGCACCCCTGTGTGGTATATGTATGGTAAGTAAGCAGAGCCATAGTAGTCAGCTCTCTTTTGGAGCTGTGGGAGGTCTGCATGTGGCTTTATGGAGGCCCTCTCCTTTCCTTGAAGCCTGTGCAGACAGACTGCCACAGAGAGAGATGCACCAGAGCTGGAGATATAGAGGAACATAGGGCATGGCGGATCCCTGCCTTGCTCTGGGGCCCCATCCATGCACCGGAATGGACCCTCTCCCCACCAGCTCCTCTAGAAGCACTGACACATTCTGCTCCATACATGCAGATTAAAAACATCTTTTAAATGGTCACTTAGAAATTGGATGGCAGTGCTGGAGTTAGCCTAGTGGTAGAGCACTTACCTGGCATGTATAGGCCTTGGGTTTGATTCCCAGCACACACAAAAATAAAAGAAGCAGCAGCAGAAGAAGACAAAAATTGGATGACAACTTCAAGCCCATAATGAGGGGTGGGGGGGAAGCAAAAGAAGAAGTGAAAGTGCTTGGGATTCCTCCAGCTTACTGGCAAACAGAGGCACCCACTGGTGCTCATGCCCGGCATGGCCAGAAGCTCTTAAACAACAGTTATGAGAATGACCATTTTGAGAGGAATCCTACTTGCCACCAAGAGTTCTCAGAAATTAGCAGTCCACGATATGCACTCATTCCATACCCATTCAGTTACTGACCTAAAAAACAAACACTGAAATACTCAATGACTTGTGTAATGTTTAATGTGTTAACAGTAGGCAAATAAGCTTTTTAGTGGGGCAGGGCGGGGTATGCCTTGCCCTTCCTGGCCCAGGAGGATCAAAGTGAGCCCTCTTCAGAGAGGAGTTCTACCTCAGGTGGATGAGGTAGTTGCTTTGCCAGTGGCCAGCCCTATATCTGCCTTGGCCTAGCTTTTGGGGCTTTGTGGGCCCTGGTCTTGGCGGTCACCACCTCTGGGACTCTGTGCTGCCATGGGGTTGAGTGCTATAGGGAGCACTTCCTATAGCACTTCCTTCCCCTGTGTGCATCAGCTTTCGTAACCACACAGCTCTCCAGATTTTGCAATTCCGGGATCTCTTCCTCTACATTCCTTTGCTCAGCTGGAACAGCTGCAGACCTGACACTGAGACTGCACATAAGGCCTGGCACAGACAAAGAGCAACAAGCAGGGTGCTGGGATGCTGGAGCAAATTGTGGGGACTGAAGGGATAATTTTGCCCTCTTGTTCTCAAGGTGACATTCTGGAAGTGATATAGTGTTAGAAGGGTGCTCACTGCCTTAGGATTCAGGGGATGGAGGAGTGTAGTGGCTAAGAGCACAGGTGTGGGGGTTAAAACAGGCCAAGGAGCACAGCCTGTCCCAGCGGCCTCCTGGCACCGTGATCTTGAGCTGAGTACTTCCTCCTGGCTTAGTCATCTATCAAGGGTGGTACCAGGGGCCAAAGCTGCATAAGGATGCCATCAGAACATAGTGGGTAAAAGTATAGAAAACAGAAACTTATGTCCTCAAGCACCAGAGAGAGCCAAGGTCCCCTCCCTTCCAAGGCCTGTGTGTTCCAAATCCCTGGGTCTTTGCTATCAGAGCTGTTCTGTTTGAAGTAACACACTGGCAATCCATTCTGCTCACTTACTCTAACATGGTAAGAGGTGTTTTATGATTATTATCCAAATTTTGCTCAACTACCCTCCATCTGCCCAAAGGTGCCAGAGAGTCATGCCCGTTAGTCCTGGGTCCCTCCTGATGTCCTGCAAGGCCTCAGCTCTCCCACACTCCAGGGCCGCCCCACTGCACCCCAGAGGCTTGCTGGCCCCGCCCCGGAGCCCTCTGTGCAGCACTGCCCCTGCCTAGCCAGTTCTCCTGCAGCCCTGAGGAAGACCTGCGGCCAGCCTCCAGAAGACTCAGGTCAGTTTCTGGTGCTGCCTCCGTAGACTGAGTAGGAGGGTGGGTGGTGAGTCCCTTGCTGCCCTGGGCCTGGAGGGGAACAGTAAGCATGGGGATGTTTCCTTTCTTGGCCAGACTTTTCCAGAAAAGGAAGCAATCTACTTCTCTGTCCAGAAGTCTTCTTTAACTTTGACCTTTTTATATTCCTGTCCTGATAGAGGAAGAATTTTCACCTCAGCCAGACCAGCTGCCCATCTAGATGGGCCTTGACTGGAATGCAGTGTCCCCTCGTCACTTCTGGAAGCCTTTCATAAATCACAGGCTTCAGTGTGTGCCCTTGTATCACTGAAA